GGTATTTTTTTTTAAATGTGTCAGTCCATGTTCCGACTAGCGGCCATATTGTTCATCAAAAATTGTTTTTGTTCATTTTTGCTTATAACTTGAGAATATAATTTTATTCAGATTTGATACAGAGGCAGTATATTATTCCACAGAGATGCAAGTTGATTTTTTTTAGATGCTATGCAGTATGGATGACCAGCAGCCATTTTGTTTGACAAATTTGTACAATTTCTAAAATTCACACTTGGGTCACAGATGATTGTGAGAGAGCACAACAAGGAAGTTTGATTACGCCACACTCCAATTCAAGATGGTTGCTTTGTAGCCATTTTGTTTGCCGAAAATCATCAATTTCTGTTCTTTCTTACCTATTTTGGCTTATATCTCAAACCCATGCACTCTAAACAAGGTTCACATATAATTGTGTGTTATCATTCCAACAAAATTGACTTTTTACAATCCAATGCAACATGTCACTGTCAGAAAAGACAAAAGTCAATAATTTTAGTGTTTTTGCATGTTTTCTGCTTATATCTCAAACTCAACTGTTAGGTTGAAACTTAGTTCACAGACAACTGTGTTTTCACATATCAACAACAGTTGATTTGCATCACAATTCAAGGTGGTTGAATGACAGCTATAGATCATAGAGCACTTACAAATCATTGTGTATTGTGGGATAGTTATGACAGCATCATACAGCATATCTGTTCTCGCAATCTAACATAACTATCCCATAATGCACTAGAACTTTGAATTTGAAAACATAGATATTAGAGACTCACACATGTTAAATTGTTTGGCAGTCCAAGTCATTAGTTCAGTGTACATGTACTTGAAAAAAAAGAACCATATAAATGTTGACATTTCATTTGTCATGTATTGATTTACTAGAACAAAGTGCTGTGACATTCTCAGTGGCTTGTTTATCTAAGATTTTAGTAAAAATGGCTGACTGATGTCAATTTTATTTTTAACCAATGCTGTTTTTGGAGCCATGTTGCTAACATAGCTGAACTGACCATGTTCAAAGTATACACATACATCATGTTACACATTCAATAAAGTTGGGCAATGTATATCCTATGTATTCATATTATGATGTGGAGGCCATGATTAATTCTTTCAAACTATTTTCATCATGGTTACTATTTCCCAACTCTCTGATATTATTAAGTTATCATGTGGCTGCCAGTAAGTGTTTCAGTCATTAATTTCTATTTGAATGAATACAAGTGAATGCTCCTCTAACTAGTATACATGTAACTCTTTATGTGACCCTTATGACAGTTTGTTTTATACTTACAGGGATTCTTCAGAAGAAGTTTAAAAGACAGTTCATTTTATCATTGTCACTGTAACAAAGATCAACCTTGTGAAATTACTCTGTTGACCAGGAATGTCTGTCGGTATTGTAGATTTGACAAGTGTCTTAGCGTTGGAATGTCAAGAGATGGTATACACTGTTATTTATTGTTTCCATTGTTTGCTTTTGTGCTTGTTAGAGGTTTCACTATGGTTAAAATAAGTTTAAAGGGCGATAGTCATCGTGCCGCGTCCTGTTCGATATGGGACTCATAGCAATGTATACAACGCATGTAAAATACATTGTTTATTTACATGAAATTCGAACACACGCTCTTTAATGATTTAAATGATCCAAAATTTTTTTTCATGTGTGCTTCTACTGGAGATGTACTGTAATTGTGATTAGCCACTTACATGTCAATTATCCATGGTGTATTACATTTCTATAAATTTCAAAAGGACATCATATACATCCCTATGACACTAAATTTCCTAGCTACGAGACTTCATTTGTTTTCTGCAATTTTTTATTCACATATTTTTAAATGACAATTTGCTGACATATTTTGACCAAACCATTGCAATCCATGACCATTACATGTTTAATGGAAAAAACTTTTATTTGTTTTAGGAATCAAACTTGGAAGACACCTCAAAATTCTGGACAAGGCCAGTGATGAATTTGAAAATAAGAAAGATATTCCATGGAAATGTGCGGGATTACTTAAACCAGTGATAAATCATACTAGGTTGAACCAGTCGGGACATCTGACCATTGATCCAATCACAGTCAATGCAGTATTCCAGAAAAAAAACAGTGACGATATTGACCATGGAAAATCACCTTCTGAGACTAGTAAAACATTGTCAGCTGTAGGCTTAGAGAATGTCAATGTGTTGGAAAATAATGGCAGTGGTTCAACCGAGTCAGTGAATGATGGCATCGGTCTCAACAAGTCTGTAATCGAAAACTTATCAGAAGATGATGGTGTACTTAGCATGTCTAATATTGAAAAGTCAGGACAGGATAGCCATTGTACAGACTCTGTAATCTGTAGCACTGCTAATAGTGTTTTAAGTGAACTAGTTGATTCTCCAATGATTAGTCAGCCTGGTTCATGTCTAGAAAGTTGTCAAAATGAAGACATAGTAAA